CACCCTACCCCAATGATCATAATTTAAACAATTTAGAATCTACACTACCCCAGGATGCTTCCACATAAGTTTCAGCTTTTCTGACCCAGTGGTTCTTGAGAAGAAGATTTTCAAAGATTTTTCCTTTATATTTCTATGTAAAAATTTGATTCCCCATTGTGGCCCCGCCCAACCCCTGGGGGTCATGATTTGCACAATTTATAATCTACACTACCCCAGGATGCTTCCACATACGTTTCAGCTTTTCTGAAGATTTTCAAAGATTTTTCCTTTATATTTCTATGTAACACTTTGATTCCCAATTGTGGCACCGCCCAACCCCCGGGGGTCATGATTTGCACAATTTATAATTTACACTACCCTAGGATGCTTCCACATAAGTTTCAGCTTTTCTGGCCCAGTGGTTCTTGAGAAGAAGATTTTCAAAGAGTTTTCCTTTATATTTCTATGTAAAACTTTGACTCCCCATTGTGCCCAAACATTTACACAATTTATAATACACTGATGCTTACACATAAGTTTCAGCTTTACTGGCCCAGTGGTTCTTGAGAAGGAGATTTTTTAATGACCAAACCCTATTTTTGTCTTTTCTTGATTATCTCCACTTGTGAGGGGACATGCCTTCATTTTTACAATTTAAATTTTCCTTTACCCAAGGATGCTTTGTACCAAGTTTGGTCAAAATTGGCCCAGTGGTTCTTGAGAAGAAGTCGAAAATGTGAAAAGTTTACAGACGGACGGACAGACAGACAGACGGACAGACGGACGGACGGACGACGGACAAAATGTGTAAAAAATAAAAAACCATCAGAGTGATTGAGCCTGGAAAATGTGTTTAAAAATATATAGGACAGATAATCAAGAAATAAGGCGTATTTACTGACCATAAATCTGTCATATATGTAGCATCTCATAAAGTATCCGAAACTCTATATTGCATTCTAATTGGCATTAATTTACGGGAGTCCACCATTTAAAAGGCTGGTATCAGTGTTTAGTGCTAGTATAACACTGGTACTGAAGCCATAAGGTCAGGTAACTGTATTACTTCACTAAACATTCAGAGTAATAATTAGAAACTTAATTTCTTTAATTAATCGTCAGCATTAAATGTCATGGAAATGAGCAATTAACAGAAAGAACAGATGGTTGAAGTATTTTCAAAAACGTCTTTGCATAATGTGGCATAATTATCACAGAGTAGTTCATAGTCCCTAAATAGTAATGTTCTTCACGCGGGGAAGTAAATCTCAGCATTTTTCAAGTCTAACTTAAGTTCCAAAATGTAAGAATTCTTAAACATATACACATTGAATTGCCTATGGATTTTTCATTATGTATATCCCAGTTAATACAAAGAGAATTTAAAATTAACTTGCAATAAACGTTACTTTATATTCAGAAGACTTAGAAAGAGAATGTCTATAATCGAAGAATTTTTAGGCATATACAAACTGAATAGCCTATGGATTTTTCCTTGTATCTCTTTTAATACAATGAGAATTTTAAATTTGCAATAAATGTTACTTAATATGCAGATAACTTGAAAAGAAAGAGTATATCTATAATCGAAATATAAAACCCCTTTCACTTACTGAGTGATTGTTAGCCAATCTAATTTATTGTAAAGATGCAGAAGAATGTCAAAACATAACGTTCCACCTTTGCACATAATTTGATCATATCATCACATACTGTGACAGGACTTGCACCTTTAATTAAAAAGGACGCACGATTTGCATATGTAATGAAAGCAATTAAAGACTTGCTTCTTTTAATGCTTTTTTATTCTTGAAGGCATTTATGATAAAATTATATTGTCTTTTCTTGTAATTATTTGCCTTACGATATCATAGATCTTTACTTGGAAAGAAAGCTAGAAAACTGTAATTATTTATGGCAAGTTTAGGAATATGTAATCTGGTTTTATTATAAATGTCAATCTAATTGTACATATATTTAGGATTTCTTACAGCATATTGAATAAAATGGTATCTACTTAAGTCCGTCATGTTTTTAACTTTTGTTTTTTCAACATCCTGCAACAAATCCATGAATATGAATAACAATATTATTGGTTTCCTGTAATTTTCTCTTACATATATCACAAATGCATTTCTGTTGCATTTATTAAGGATATAACAATGAAAGAAAGAAAATGTAAAGAAAGAACATTAAAAACGTACATAGTAACGAAACATAACGATTGTATCATAGAAAGAAGCATATTGTTATGTAAGCTTTTTAAACGTTAACATTGATTATATGTAAGAAAAATTCTATTGTTTTGATAAGTTAAATTTCATCATCTTACTTAAACAAGGGTAGTTAGCAAATATTAAAGAAAATTAAAAAAATCTTTTAGACGAGATGTCAAGTCCAATTAGATTTTAAACATTTGCAGAAATAATAATACATTCAAAATAATAACCATTTTCACATTCGAAAAAAATCTTATGTTTGAAAATCATGTTCTTTAAGAATGTTTTTAAAAACTTTTACATGGGAAGAACATTTACATTCAGATATATGTTTATCATTATCAAGATTTGATATTTTCATTTATCATACAGTACAGGCCACGAGTTTTCCGCAACGCTCGGTGGAAAGAACACCGTGTGAAACGCTCTGTGTTACACCGTGTACACGGTGTAGCACGGTGTGTGTGGATTTGAAATATACAGGTAGGCACACCGTGCCGCGCCGTATCTAGAAAAATCTCAGCTAGTGTCCTCCGTGTCGCACCGTGTCCAGAAAATTCCCCTCCAAGCTGCACCGTGTAAATAGTATTACAGACAAAATCGTTTGTTTCTCATAAAAATTTGATAATAAATTTTGATGACAACTTTGGTTTACGAGTATGTATATAAAATAATCGTTTTTATTCTACCAGATATTGGACTTCGAATGGCACGCATGATATTGAGATTAGATATCGGTAAAAAAAAAAATGAATGATTTTCATTTGAATTAACAGTGTGTCTAGAAATTTATGTTAGTAAAATTATTCATCCACGTTACAAATTTAATGAAATTAAATCAAAATTATTAATTTTATTTTAAATGAATAATTTAATCTCATGTGTTCATGTAACAAAGGAAGACGAAATGGCGTCGAGCTGCATTCGTGTCACATACACTGTATAGTACAGTATAAAATTAAATCCGAGCTGTATCTATGTTCATGGTTTTAACATGTACAGCACTAGTGTACGATCCAAGCATTATTATGTATATTCCTTATTAAAATACATTTATTTTGTTCATCTTGAATTATTCTGAATGTGGATGCGAAAATCGTTAGCAGAAACACGAAATTAATGCAATAATTTCAAAGCGTATTTCTAGTAACAGCAAATATTATTTTCATAGAGTAGTATTCACTACGTTGTGTTTTTAAAATCCTTTCAGTGTAAGTAGTTATTTTCAATAAGTTTTTCTTTTGTTGTAAAGTGTATAAAGAGCAACACCAGAGAGAGAGACAGAGACTCATACAACCCCCTTTTAACATATAGTCTGTATTTTTTTTTTTAAATTTTTCGTTCTATTTAAGTTAAGGAGGTCACAATTAATCATTCTATAATTCTACTTAATTGCCACAACTTTTGTTCATATTCAACCCATTTAATGCAATTAATTCGTTCTTTGTATATGCTGTACGCACAAAATTCTCGTGCATCACCTGCCAATCAAAATACCATGACGCTTGGTGACCTTGAAAGTCTGTTTACGCGGAAAGAATTTCTCTTGTGATTTGAAACAATCTTATGGTCAGTTCCGAGTTCACACCTGTTCAAAAAATATATTGGGTCTCTGCCGGTGGGCCAGGGGCGCCGTATGTTTATCACACCTTTCAAATTCTTTAGCTCTGACCACAGCAAGTGTATAACATGTAACACACTCAACTGATATCATGCGAAATTCACCTTTCAGGTTTCACTACAACAACAAACTTACAATTATTTGTTGACTTATTTATCCTTTTTCAGACACAAATAAGAATGTATCCCGTTGATTAAGATTTAAAAAAAAATAACATAAATTTGCAGACTTCTGATAAAGTTTTAACCAGCTGATTTGTATCGCTTTCTAGAAGGGGGGGGGGGAGGCATTTTTAAAAATCGCTAAATATCTATGTTTTCTCAAACCGTTTTTTTTCTTCTTTTCACACGATATAAGTCAGAATGAAGTAATATTCGTACTGAAGTTAGCACATTTCATTTGCCAAAAATTCGGCTGTGATTTTTGTATTCAGCTTGTTTACTAATAAAGTTTATCACTAATTTAATTAATGAAATTATTCAGATTATCATCTCTGCCTGTTCAGTAGATTTTCGAGTTTACCGCATTCAATATTTATCTCCGTATTTTACATAAATACAGATTTTTAGTGTTAGTCTAAATGCAATAATCCTCATCTGAACCTGTCCAATGATTCGCCGAGTATCGGTATCGGTATCAAAGAGCAGAATTAATGTGCTAGTCTGATACGTTTTTTTTTTGTTTTTTTTTTAAATAAATTTAGACACAGTACATGCACATTTAAATTCTTACAAAATAATTAATTCACTTAGTATAATCACGCATCTGATATGTAATACGAATACTTGTATCAACGATTTAATTGAACACAGTTAAAATCAAAATCGGAAGTAGAGACAATTAAGTAATTCATTTATGAAAGTGTGTTCCCTCTTAGTGTAATATAATAAAAGTCTATTGAACTTTTTATGACTAATAAAATTAGGATTTAACTTGAAACGTGATTGTATATTTTTTTTGCTGGACACGAGTACGTTGTTATTAAGTTTTCAGGCATCTTTAGTTTAATTAGGCTGTTTAAAGTTAATTCTACGTTTAACGTCACATCTAAAGTTCAAAACCTACGAGGGAGGGAGGAAAAAAATAAACAAACAAAATTTTCAAACAATTGTGAATTTATTCAAATTAACCTATTCAATACATTAAAATCATTACAATTAAGTAATAAGAGCATTTAATTGATATGACACCTAAGATTAATTTCTCTAGCAGAGTTTTTCCTTAGTATATAAATCAGTTTTAGTCCTATTGTTAGCAAACAATGCAGTCTAAGACTGAATGTGCAGGAAAGTGGCTTTTAACTAGGCCTCAGTTGTCCTTTGGATTTATATGGCCACACGTCCATGGTACCCTGGAGGCAAATGCTTCTTCTTGTGGGAAAAGTTGATCAATATCTACAATCAAAATTATTGATGACAATATTTAAAAGTGTTCATGTTGAAATATCCTCAAATTGAATTATGTCGTATTTTTTCTTAGTACTAGATCTACTAGCATTAAGTTTTGAAAGTGTGAATACTAATATTTGGACCATACTGATAGCTGTTAGATTATCTTTATTTAATACCTTGAATTCCACACAAAAGACAGGATTCTTCACATCTTGGAATACCCCAACCACTTTCCTTACTCTCCTTCACTTGAAAGGCCCTATCTTCGGTAAGCTTCTCCCTGCTCAAATGGTTATGACAAGTATATTATCTTTCCCAAAAATTGTAGCTATTTGTAGGTACATGAATTATGAAGAAATCAATTACTTTACTCATTACTGTTCCTTTCGATTTTTACAGAAATATTTTTAATATGAAACATATTAATAAGATTTAAACGATGCTTTTCACTGTATATAAATCTTGGTTTTTGACACAGTTTCCACTCAGTAAAAAAAGTTTTTCGATTCTCTCCAAAATACAATGAAAAGTTCAGCCAATAGAATCACGAACTGAGAGTCTGTCACTGTCAGTCTGTACACATGATTCGAAGACTGAGTCAAAAAAAATCAACAAACAAGACTTTGTAATTAATATAATCATAAAATAATCTATTTTTTACTTACATTTATGGTCCCAAAGTCTTTAATTCTCTAGTTTTCATTAATAAGACACCAACTGCCTTAACCTGTTAACTGCGGCAATCAAAGCACATTTTCTGTTAGTCTCGTTCAACCAAAAATCTACGACCAAAGGGTCTTTCGTATTATCGTTTGTGACGCCAAAACGAGGCTTACCGAAATTCTGGTAAAGTTTTTGATTGGCTGAAAAGAACACACCTATACGATTTAAATAAATACATGATAAACCAGGAGAAAAATAACTTAAAGATGTAAAAGTTATATGTCTAAAAGTTAAAGCTGTTAGATAGGAATTGTTCACGGTGTTGCTCACCAGTTATAGGTAAGTGTGTTTTATTATGTCTTGCAAATATTCTGTACGAAAGCAAAAGCGAAAGTAGTGTAGCCCTACCTGCGTAATACACATTCCTTCGATTGATATTGTAATTTCTCGTTTGATGTCACAAATTAAAGATTAGTTTATCAATATAAACTCACAAACCAGAAGAAGAAACACATATAACATTTGTTTTCAAAAAGGATCGTCAAAATGAAAACAAGATAGCGCCCTCTGACGGTTACAAACGCTTACGTGATTCTTTACCAGACTCTCTGCTGGTCGGAGTTTACGGAGACAGCCGAGCGTCTGGTTGAACGAGACTAATTTTCTGTCACTACGGGAAGCAGAATTCAGTCGTTAATTGAAGAACCAAACCGGAACGGACATACGGAATTCCGAATTGTTTGTTTTTTTCAAAGACGAATTTCTCATAAACCTACGCGCGCGGGTGACGTTAAACGTAGTTTTAATTTTAAACAGCCTTATCTGTATGCGATAAATTACCAATATATGTATTAATTTATGGAAAAAGTACAACAAATATTTCGAAAGAAAGCTGATTTAATTTTACTAAATAAGGGCAATGAGAATGTTTAAAATATTTATCATCAGAACTGTGACACACCGTGTTGCACGGTGCACAGACACGCTGACTTCAAAGACGCCGACAAGGTTCGAGCTCCACGCTTAAGCGTGGACTTGCGGTCCACGGGGCCCCGTGTTTTTTGCGGAAAACTCGTGGCCTGTACTGTATACTTAGAAGTAAATACACTGATTCCACACGGTGTGATACCAGTGACGTCACAATATCCCATATCACGGATCGGTCCGAAAATCCCTATCACGTATCAGACCGGCGGGTCGAAAATCCATATCAAACCGAAAGTAACGCTTGTAGAAAGTTTAAAAGTAAACTTTTTTTCAGTGTCAACTACTTTTAGTACCAATTCTTATACTACATTTTGGGTACATTTCTAAAAGTGGGGGGCCAAACAGGCTTTGAATTAACATTTCCTATAGTGTAAGTAAGGTTGGGAAAAAAAGTGGGGGGGGGGCCAGGCCCCCCCCCCCCCCCCCCCCCGGATACTACGCCCCTGCAGTATGACTCAGAAATAAACAAAAATCTTAAGTGTTATTCAAAATACAGGCACTAATAAATAATCAAGTTTCTGAAGTCATAAACTCCTCATTTAACATGTTCAAATAATGATAAACATTTTTGAACTTATCTGAAATCCATAAGCTTTCGTTGCATCTTAATAAAATATTTTGTTTCTCACATATTTATTGATATGAAACAAAGTCGCGGTGGTAGTTAAAGTTTACGCATTTTTAATTAAATGTTGAATTTTAATGTCCTGGTGAGAAAAGCAAGATTTGAGATTTAAACATTGTCCGTTAATACGCCATGTGCGTGTTGGTCAGTTTGTGACACTGACATGTTATTTAGTAATTCTGAAATCAATCAGAATTTCCCACCATTCCATAATCTAAAAGCAAACACAATTCCCACGTTGTTGTTTTTCTTGGCTAATTTTCCTATTTACACGTTCATCATCAAACTAACCTTGGACGAGTTAGTTTTAAGACAATTGAATAAAAACAAGTGAGGATGGGTAATTCATATTTATTTCGTCCACTAACAGAATTATTAACTTGAAGGAATTCAATACATAAGGTGAGAAAAAATACATTAAAGCATTTCTTTATTTTATTTATTAAAACAGGCTTTCTTTGATGTAGTCAAAGTCGGTTGTAAAACCTCATGAGAAATAGAGGTTAGGGCAACACCACATGTAGCCAAAAAGACACAATAATCCAAGTTTGATAACGTACAGTAATCGCACTCAGAGGTCCATTGCAATAATACAAACAGTACACAGAGCAATCAAGTTAGATCTCTTAAAACAGAAGAGGAATTAGGTACCATGTATAGGAAAAAACACCAACTGTCTCCTTGTGCTTTTCGTCATGTTAAGATAAAAAGTAAATTCTGTGTAAAAATAATGGCCTAACAAATAGCATGGAAGAACCCAGGCAACATTAGAACTTATGTCAAATAAGAATGGCAAACAAGGTCATTATTGGTATTAGAATTAATGCAATGTTGACTAAAAACAAGATAAGAGATTTTCTTGTATCATCAACTTTATTATCATTATGACCTGCGTGTTTTTACATGTAGCATTGTTTAGTATTGTACAAAGAATATTAATGTGCTATCGTGTATCGCAACTACCATAGAACATAAACCCCATCTGCAAGTGAAAACAAGACAAACAAAACATCATAAGAAAAAGTAAGCAAAAGATGGCACAAAATGACATAGATAAAGGAAATTGGCGATAGAGCATTAATATAGCCATTATGATAGTCATTAAGTTTGCCATCAATGTCTTTTTTGAAAAAAATATATAAAATCGAATCAATGAATGAATGGAAATGATAAAAATCAATAATTGAAACAATGTATGTAGAAATCGAAATTGGCACATTTATTTTTCAATAATTTTTTTTTGTTTTATTAAACATTAATTATTATTGTAAGTACATAATCTTCCATACACACTTTATTACTTTATTTATTTTTTGTATTTTGAGAAAAAAAATAATGAATTTTTAATCTCTCTCCAATTCTTGTGAATTTTAAGCATCTGTTAGAGATAAATATCACTTACATGAATTATTACTTGATATTGCGATTACTAAACTTAGCGGAACTCTTTCGCAATGGAGGTAGGAAACATCTGTTGGATGGGGGCAAATGTGATATAGAATATAATGCAAGATCGATCATTGTAGAATTTATAAGGACAGATAAGTAAAAAATCCAGGTAGAATACCTTGCTAAACAATCACTGAACCACCCTAATCAATTTTTGAGAGGAACCAATCCTAAAATGTTACAATTTTAACGACATTTTTAACTAAGCGGACTCTTCTTATTAAATTTTCATTGAAAATCGTCACATTTTAAAGCTGATAAAATGTCCCCAACTTTTCTTATTTGACAATCTACTATTTGGAGTTCAATCCTTGGCAATACATTGTACTTTCGGCATAAAATTGTTCGAATCATTCGATAGTCACTACTGTAAACAATATCATGTGCCTCAGAGATTTAGAGCTTTCTCAACTCCACCGTCAAAGAGCGGTAGTAAGGTAGATAACTGCGAGGTAATAGCGATATTACGCATTAGCGTGATCTATGTATGCCTAACTAATTATTTGTAAGTAAATAATAGCTTTTTAATTCATCTAAATATTTAAATAAACTCCCCAGTTTTCTTCAATTTTTAACGAAAAAAATGTTCATACTTTAGTTTGCAATATAGAACACCAAATGAAAACATGGTATATATTTGAATTTTTTGCATAAATATCATGATGCAGACGTAGACAGATATAGACAGCGGGTAATTGTGTTAGACACAGACAATATTCTAAGAATTACTAGGGACATCCTAACGATAAATAGATTGCAAACACTGGTTCCTTATGTATTTTTCTCAACAGATAAAGACCTCTTATTGTTGATTCACTTCTCGTGAATTAGATCAGTCTTGGTGATGGAGAAACCAGGGTAAGACCAATGCTTTATTTATCAACGTCTTTGCTTATTGGAAATGCATTGTGATACAATTTTGGAAAGAAATAGTTCATCCGTATTACATGATAAGATTTAACTTGTTTTTAACAAGAATAGTTTGTTAAAGTACACATTAACTTTATTATGTAGCACTTTCGAAACCAATTTAGATCTTTGATTGGCATTTTACTTGATTTCTTCTGAAGGGTTTTTGCATGTTACTTCTGAATCAAAGATCTTGTAAGCCAGGAGACAATATGTCTATTGTTTTACGGTGACTATTACAAATTGGAATGTAAAGATTTCAAGTCTTAGATCTCTCTGTTTTGACATCCTTTTGTGACTTATTTTCTTGGGTCTTTTAAACAAGATTTTATTGTGGTTTGGTTTTTTAATAAGAACGTAAAATAAAAATGGGTTAAGCCTCGCTTTGTTTATACAATAGACGTTCAAAATGTATACAAAGTTATTATTCGTATTGACATTATCATCATAATCATCATCGTAATATTAAATGATGGCAATATAATTTTTTAATGCTAAGATTTACTGCAAGTATAGACAGTGAAAAACAATGTTTTTTTTCTGGAGTTCATGTTTTGATAGAAATACTCATATCAGCCTTTTTATTTCATTTTAATCAATTAAGCGCAAAATATTTCATCTTTAACCACGGAATTCAATCAATTGTATTGTCAATAAGAATTTGTGTAAGTTATTAATAGTTAAGATACACACACACTAAAAGTTTATGTTCGCCTAAAGTAATATTTGAGGTGGTATTTATTAATTCAGTTGAATGAAATATATGGAGATAACGAACGGTATTCAAGATCAAAAGTCCATAAAACAATACAAAACAGGAGCAGAGCAATCACGGACCTCCAAAACATCAGAGGTGGGATCAGGTAACATGGGGTAGTAAGCATCCCCTGCCGACCGGTCACACCCGCCGTGTGCTCCTTGTCATGATCGGGAAATAACGGAAAAATCCGTCGTCAATTCAGTGTATAAATGATGGACTGACATTTAGTATGAAAAACGTCAGTCAGCATTTGACTCAATGTTAATCTGTATTTGCTAACAAGGTCACTGTATCGAACATAGAACTTAAGAAATGATGACTGTAAACGAGACT